CTTCGGTCTTCACTGCTCCTGTCCTTTATCTGTCTCTGCCACTAACGGAACGGGTGCAAGACTGTCATCAGGTGGCTCATGATGTGTTGAGTCCCTACTCGCAGCCAGCATGTGGATGGTCTTGTGCCAGTCTGCTCCAATGAGCCCGTACGCCCAGCTCGACAAGCCCTTACACCTTGCACCGTGAACGCGGCCAAATCCAAAATCGAAGCTCGCGCGCGTAGGAGCACAGCCCCAGCGCCGCCTGCTCCTTGCAATTGAGGAAGCTGACTCGCGCGTCGACGAGGGTAAGGTTCCCAAGCACTGTAATGCCTCGATGCTTTTGAGGCTTGAACCCTCCGTGGTGGGCTGCAGGACTTGCAAAGCAGATCTCTCACGCACAGGCAAGGGGCAGGGTCTATCCAGCTCCTTAGCACCTGTGATCTGCAGCTCGCCCTGGAGCACCAAGTCCCCTGCACGGGCAAGTCTACAGCGGCAACAACACAAGTAGATGCCCTTGTCTCTTGCGGGTCATGAGCTTCCATGCGCAGGCCTCCTCGACCTCGCTTGCATTGGGAAAGGTTCACATACAATCACAACGCCGGCAGAGCCGTGTCTTGGAACACGTATCTGGCCCAGCTCCCTCACAGTCCTACTCCAACGGGTGTCAACCTCAAGGAGTCCTGCAACAGCCACCCTCCTGCAGATGCCCTCAAATAATTCACGCGCTTCTTAAACCCCAAGTGTCTCAAAGGCCCGACACCCGCAGATCCTTAATGCCCGGAGGGCTGAAAACCTCTAGAAAAACTGCGGAAGCCTTGGAAGGTCAGCGGCGCCCCCAGAAGCACCTGCAGGGCGAGCCCTCCGGCACCGACTTGGTTTTTCCGGGGATGATGGCCCCGGGCCAGGCGTACGACGCCCGCTCGCCCGGTCCAACGCGCGCTCGCAGGAGCCGTGAAACAACGGCTACACTGCCACCGCGAAAAACCCCTCAAAAACTGGGTCCTTGCAGCGGCCGATGCTTGTACTTGATCCTTGTTCATCTCTACTGTCATCACTGGTGTTCTTGGATAAGTACTTCCCGCACCGCAGCCCCCACCAGTTCCAAGTCCCCCAACCCCGAAGCTTTAAGCAGCCAGGAACAGAGAGCTTCGCGAACACAGCATACAGCGCAAAGCACAGGGCAAATCACAGGGCAAAGTTCCGACGGGCAGCTTCGACTGTAGCGGCGGGCAATCTTAAGCCAAGGGCTCCCAGTCCGAGTAAAACACGGGCAGTTTCGAAGCTCCGGGCTCGCGCCTGCGCCCCACTCGCACGCCAAGTGCAGGCGCTCAAGTTGAGCGCCGAGTCCTGGGCTCGGGGGGGGGGGGGGCTTATGGGGCTGGTGGGCTTGCAAACTGTTATCGGCTTGCCAGGTCTACTGCTCTTGTCGCCACTCCTCATTGTCCTCATTCTCCGTCTGCGTAGCAAATCAGACTGCAAATTCCAGGAGGGAGGCCTTGCCCACCTGCGGTCCAGGTGCCAACGTGCGGTTGCCGTCCCCTGGCAGCTCGTCGCAAGGCGGGAGACCAGCCTGCAGGCCACCACGCAATGCTTGCTTTTGTCGACCCAGGGACTCCAATACCCCTTAATTCGCCTCGGCTTCCTGCCGAGAAGCGTCTGGAACAAGCAGACCCGGATCGGGCCTCCTTCCCCCTAACCCACCCCTTTAACCCCTCTGCCCACCCTCTTTCCTCCTTGGCCCGGCTGCCGAGGCGGCGCGCGCAAGCGTTTACAAATTAAGGAAGATTCCTGAAAAAATGTAATAGGGTTCCTTGTATAGGGTTTAAGGAATATTCCTTAATTAAGTGGAGTCTCTGGGGAGCCGTTGCTCGAATTCCGGCTTTATCTGCTTTACATCGCGCTTGTAGCTTGTATGTTTGCTGTCGGCTGCTTGCGGGCTTCGGGTCAAGCGGGTCTCTCCATTCAATTTTTTTGCTGCGGATTGCGCAAATTGCTTGCCGAGCGGCTTGCTCGTGGCTGAGCCATGACTTCATCAGGCCTCTGGGCTGCACATCCTGAGCTGCTGTGACAGTGCTTCTCAACAGCATTCTCGAATGGGAGAACTAACCGCACGATGACGCCACAAGTTGCAACGCTGCCGCAGTTGCGAGGTAAAGGTATTCTGTTCAAAAGTTCACGTCCGGCACCGAGCGCCGCTTGCAACTTGGGTCTCGCAGCAGATTTCACATCAGTTCTTCTCCAAGCCAATCGGGAGACTCTGCAGTACCACAAACAGCCTAGTTGGAATCAGCTTCAACCACAGCTTCTCTGTCGTCATCCATGCAACAGAGTCCAAGCCTTTCCGTACGTGCTCAGCTCTGTTGCCTCAAGCCTCCGCATCCTCCGAAACCAGAGGCCTCTAAACCCACAACCGCTTGATTGAACTTCGCGAAACGACAGGTCTCACAAGTTGAGGCAGGAAACGGCCTTCACTTCCAGCTTAGACGCTTTTGCCTCAGCATTGGCATTTCCAGACATGAGCTCGTGTGATCTCAGGGGCCCGGAGTTACTGCGGGAGGCTTCAGCTTTCGTGCTTTGGACTTCCGGTGTGTGAGGAAGGCCTTGACCAAGCAGAGAGCGATGCTAAATGCCGCGCAGAAGTCCAAGCTCGAGTTGGGATGAGCCACGGGCGGCCCGCACTCCCGCATTTTGAGGGTGAATAAGTGAAAAATTGCCAGAACCTTCACTATTCGTCTCCCCGACTCAGTTAGATTGCAGCGTGACATGGCTTGGCGTCATCCCTTCACTCCTTTGCTCTAGACCAAGAAATCGTCCCTAAACACACAAAGCTAGAGAGCCCCCCCCGACCACAGAACAAGTGAACCAAACGAAGGCAAGTTTGCGGCCTTCCGCGCTGGCGGTGCGATCGCAGGCGCTGACTGCCAAGTTGATGTACATGGGAGGTTGGAGGCTGGATCCCGCCAAAACAAGGCCCTTGTCTCAGCCGAATATCCGACCTCACCTTCCATGAACCTTTGGATGGGGTTTGCCGTGCGCCAAAACCCGCAGCCAAGTCACCTCCCCCTCCAAACCCAACCCTCCCACTCAGAGGCTCAGCACCTCAAGCTGCCAGAGATGCTGCTGAGGGCGTAAGGCGCGCGAGGCCAATACAAGTCCTTGGCAGCCCTCCTCCCGACACGACGCCCACCCCCAACCCTCCATTAGGGTTCGGGGTTTCGGGTTGACTTCATGTTGCTGAAAATTTTGCAGGGAGGAGCTGATGAAGGTGCTTGGAGCACCGGTTTTCTGGGCGACGTGCGCACCAACAGCGTTCCTCAAGAAGTTGAGTGTCTTCGTGGGGTGGGTTTTCCTTGAGTCTGAGATGCAGGACTGGGGAGGAACTTAAACTGTCAAGCAAGCACCGGTTGCATCCTGTTGCTACGATTCGATTCGCATAAACCAACGTCCTCCTATACGCGTCAGACTCCCACTCCCCACAGCCGCGGCTCTCAGAAGGGCCACTGCCCAGGTCGCTAGCGCCATGCTGCAACATCCCCGTACGAAGGGTGCCCCCGCTGTAAAGAACCAGAGCGCAAGGCCATGGAAATCCCCAAAAACCCTGAAGCCTAAACCACCAAACCTTGACCCAAGTTCTGCAGGCCGTGTGCCGTTGCAGGGTTTGTGGGGATGAGTGGAGTTGTTCGGAAGAGTGTGCTCTCGACAGACAACGGAGAAGCTCTGAAGCCTGAGCCACGCGGCCACGCGGCTGCAGCAGGCATCATGATTGCTGAAAAAAGGACGCCAGGGCTGGTTTTGCGTGGGTTGGGACTGCTCGCGGGCAAGTGAACAGTCTCGAGTGCTTGAGGCTTGGAAATCTGGGTGCCTCGGCGATTGCGGTCTGAGTCTGACATGTCATCGCTCACTCTACCTCAAGAACTGGTCGCAAAGGAACCACTACGACTCCGCGATCACTCGCGGCACCGCAAAAATTTGACAATGGCAAACTACCTGCGCAAGAACGTAACTACCAGAATCTGAAATCCCGGTGGAACACTCTAAACCCTAAATCCAAACATAGAGCTTGGAACATTGCATTCGGCTTGTTGGGCTTAGCAGCCTGAAAGCATCCAAAGGTCTGTTTGAGCTATGGTGCCCAGACCTCCTGAAGTACAATGTCATCTGAATAAGCGAAATGGATAGAACCCCATTACAGGAGCTTTGTTTGCCCCCTGCTTGTTTCAATACTAAGCACAACAGCAGCTTGAAGTTCAGCTTAGAGGAAATGCTCGGGCTTACAGCTTTACCAGTTTGGCCTTTTGCTACCCTTACCGTCCTATACCAACCTACAGCGTTCCGATGTATGAGGTTTAGAGTGCTCTAAGGGACTTTCGGGATCCTGGGTTCCAGGTCTGCAAGGGTCAGGGATGGAGCGAGGATTGCAGCACTGAAGATACAACGGACCTTTAGCATCGGGACAGTGGCTCCTTCAAAAAAAAAGTCTGCGCTCTGCTGTTGCCACAAAAAGTCTTCCTGCACATCATGCAAGGTCTACCTGGCTTGCGGTGTTCTGGCCACAAACCTGTCGAGCCCTGCCTCGAAAAGGCCATCTCTTGGGGGCAATGTGGTGAGCAGGTATCGCTTCCTGATCAGATCAGCTCTGCACTCTTCTGCAACCCCAGTGCCTTGCAGCACTGTGAACCGAGTTCCAAACCCTAAACCCTAAACCCTAAACCCGAAACCCTTTTTTCGAGCAACTGACTTTGGAGGCTGCCGGCAAACGTGCAACTTCTTAGAAGTCACCCTAAACCCTATTCCAACAAAAATCATCTCCCTGTGACAGGACATCCCGGAAGCCTGCGCCATCGCCAAACCATGGCCTCAGTTCGTTCTTTCGCTATGTGAACAGGCAAGAGAATGTACGGTAGAGTATGCGCAGAATGTGCAGAAAAAACCAGAATATGCTTTAGGCTTGGTACTGCCGGCTCAGTTTCGTTTGCTGTGCACACTGGACTAATGGCTCGTACCCCCCACCCTCTCTGACCCCGGCAACACTGCCAATTCCCAGCACAGCTGTTGCAGCTTGGAGACGCTTCTTGGCAGCTTCCAAGGCTGTGCATCAGACTTGCAAAACAGCATGATGCAGGGGTTAACGCTTCAGGCAGGACGTATCTCGGAACTGATAGCTTTCCTGCTGATGCCGCCGCTCGACTAGGTGCCCGACTGTGTGCCAAGGCACCTGCTGCTGCCTGAACCCGCAAGGTCAGTAGCAAGAGATGCGTTTATGCCTCTTCCGACTCTTGCCATGCTCAATCAGCGAAGGAGGCTTTTGGCATCAACTTCTCTGCTTTCAGGCACGTCGTCACGGCTCTCTGTACATGAAATATAAGATTGTTGACCACATCCGGCGGATGATTGCGCAATGCCACAGTGTGACCAGCAGCATTCACGCACGTTCCCTATTGCACATGCGGGGCGCCCGCCGTGCTGAGACCCCAGAAAGCACAGAAAGCATTGCACACAAGCTACCGTAAGAGGGCGAATAGGCTTGACAGCTTCTCACGCCTATCTTCACTGCTGCTGCCTTCCTGCGGAATTTGCACCCCTTCTCCGAAGCGAATCTGGAGCGGACGCAGCGTCTCCTCCCAACGTTGTGTAGTGTCTGTGGCATTAACCACTCCATCCACGTTCTTGGTCAGGTCTTACAAGTATATTGAGACAATACCTAAAGAACAAGAAAAAGCCAAACCGCAGTGCTGATTTTCGTGAGTCAAGCTTCCATTTCGAGCTCGCGCAGACTTGTAGGCAAGCACTTTGCCAGCTTGGCTGCGCTCTCCAAGCTGAAGTCGCACATCGCAAAGCCCAGCTTCAAAGACCTCGCAATCAGGGAAGGAAACGAAAGACTGCTTGTTTCATGCCTGCACGGCCACTGACTGCGAGTTGCAGCCCAAGCGGCTGCACTTTCAAAGGTTGGATTGCTCCACAGAAGGCTTGGACAAAGCGTGCTTGGTTTGATCCCGGCTCGTAGAGGGCACTGCAGTGGAAGCGAAGCGTCTGCAACAAGGGAGGGAATTTAATCTCTTTTGCTCCACAAACAGTTTTCCACTCGAGCTCCAAGTCCAGGTGAGCCTGAGCTGCTTAGGATCGCAGAAGTCTTAAACCATGCAACTGAGCGCTTCTTTGCGGCTCTCAGTCTCTCTTGCGCAAACTGCCAAACTGCAGCCCGTCCCAACACCGCAGTAGTTGCGACCACGCGGCAAGCCCCGCCGGCAACTTACGAAGCAAGGTTTCGATGTTCTTCGGTGCAAGCTGAGAGCAGCCATCGATGTTCAACTTGAAGGACGTGAGGTTGCGGGGCAAAGCGGCCGACAGCACATCCATGGTTGGCCCAGAGAGGTCAGAGTTGAAGAAGCTCAAGGACAAGTCCGTGATGTTGGGCCATCTCTTGGCAATGCCCGGCACAACCCCGTTCACCTCTTGCGCACGCAAGTCCAGGTGCAGGCGCTGCAAGCGGTGCTGCCTTGACAGCAGGTCTGCGATAGAAGCCAAGCTCCCTGGTGCGACGTCGCAGGCTGCAAAATTCAACGAGCACTCCGAGAGCTCAGACTGCACTGCCGACAGCACGTCAGATGCAAAGCTCGCATTGGGATTCAGGCGCGACTCCTCGAAGTCCAGGACGAGGCTCTGCAGCTGGCGCAACTGCGCCAGTCCCGCTGCGAAAGCCCTGCCCAGGCCTGGGTGCTTCAAGTCGAGCTGTGTCATTCTGACCTCCAGCTGACGAAGCTGTGGTGGAAAGCTTTGGACCACTTGAACGAGGCCTTTCCCTGTGCAGTCTCCGTTGTTTTCCAAGTCCAAGACCAAGGACTCCAATCCAGCATTGCCTTTGATCACTGCACCCAAATGTGGCAAATCTTTCTTCGAGAGCACCTCCGCCAAGCCCAGGCGAAGATGCTTCAAGCATCGGGGCACCGCTTTCAGGAAAGCGGAGAGGTCCCCCTCCAGCATCATGTGGAAGTCCACCGCCAAGCTGGATAAGTTTCGTGGAAGATTTTGGGCCATTACCTCCACGACTCCCTCCTCCATATTCATAGCCAGGCTAAGAGAGTCGAGCGTGCTGGGAAGGCTTCTCATGAGTTCTGTCTGGAGTTCCTCATCGTGGCAACTCATGTCCAGGGAGAGCTTCTTAAGGTTCCCGAGCTTCGTAGTCAGAACCTTCAACGCTTCTTCGCTGATGCTCTCCCTTTCTCTGCAGTACCACTCGACCTTGCTGAGCAGCAGGTCCAGCGACTGCAGGCCAGACGGGATTCGAGCAAAGAGTGCTTTGCAAGCTGCGTCACATTTCCTAAGTTGTGTTTGAGCCCTTGGAAAATGATTCATGAATAGTTCCCTGACAAGGGAAAGAAGGGAAACTTAAAAAGACTTTCCCAAAGCACAACCCAGCTTCTTGATCTTCTTGAGGGAGATCTTCTCCTCGAAGACCTGCCGCCAAAAGCTGTCATGGCCACTCTCACTCGCCAGGAAGCAGCGGCAGGCCCTTGACACTGCAGCAATTCGAAATACCTCAGCTGTCTTGGCCATCCACACTTACACTCCATACCAAAGAAAGTGTTACGGGGATTGTAGCCGTGGCCCTTTACAGAAGGGACTGTGTGGAGGTTTCGCTTTTCTGTGTATAAAGCGGTAGTCAGAAAACACTTTGCCCACCACTTGAATACTTACAACTACAGACCCGCAGTGGGACGACCGCCACCTTTCACTCCACCTCTCTGTGCACATGTCACCACCTGCCATGTGCACTTACATGTGCGGAATCCTGCAAGTAGTATGTTGTAGAGGCAAGCCGCGCCCAATCCCAGAGGCTTGGCCAGATGCGCGAACGCATTCAGGAGCCGCCCCTCGCCTTTGCTGAATGGCCCCGGCTGCTTCCCGCGAAGGCGGCGCATGGCCCGGAGCTACAGCTGTCAGCTGCGTCGGCTACAAATACACAAGATCGTCTTCTATACTTTTTTGCAGAAGGCTACCAGTCTATAGGGTCTATAGTCTAGGAGAATCCACTATGTAGAGAGGCTGTTGAGCCGGGGCAGTGGGTCGCCGCACCCTTTGAAAGACTTTTTCACAAAAGAAGGATGCAGGCAAGCAAAGTGCAACAAGCTACGCCTGGAATCACTGCCAGTACTCGGTGGCCTGACGTCACTGAGGCCGGATGCTGCCGGTGATGCCCTGCAGGTCTGGATGTGGGAGGTTCAGGGTTGAATCCAAGGGCGGCAATTCTAAGAAGAAGCTTCTTAGGTCAACAGGTGGAGGAGGTCCGGCAGCCCCCTCAGCAGAGTACTAGAAGAAGGCATGCGGCGCGTTTGGGGCCGTGAAACGCTCGTTAAATTTTGAAAAAAGTCCCCAAATCACCAAACACTACACACCTGGAAGTCCCCACAGCACAACAAGCCCAACCCTAGCAACCTCAGCCAAAACAAAGAGCGAAATCCCTAAACTCAAATCTAAACTTTGCGTCGTTTTTGCTTGGCCAATCGAGTCCTTATCGTTTAGGGTATCAAGCGGGCCACAACCTAGATAAGCCCTTTCAACAAAAGGCCCTAAGACGCCTGGGTCTAGGGGCCTTATTGGGTTTTCAGAACCCCCGCCCCCACAAGAAACCAAAAACTTCAGAGAGTCTAGGGTTTTGAATAGGCAAGGCCCCAAAAACACACCTGACAAAAACAGCCCCTAAAGCACGCAGATGCCCTGAACCGGGCTCCAGGCGCTCAAAGCCCGGAGTTCCTTTTCAGGGATCTCAGCGCAGCCAAGGGCAGCGAAGCTGCGATCCCCGCTTCTTTGCGCCTCCAGATTTCGGGTGTTGGTTTAGGGTTTAGGGTTTAGGGTTTAGGGTTTAGGGTTTAGGGTTTAGGGTTTAGGGTTTAGGGTTTTGGGTTTCGGGTTTCGGGCTTAGGGTTTAGGGTAGTCCAGGCATACAGGCTTAGGGGTTTCGGGTTCAGGGGTTTGGGGGCGCTTAGGGTTTGCAGCTGTTTTCAAAACGATCGAGTTCAGGTGGGTTTCTTGGAAGGTTTTCAGGGCTTCTAGGGCTTCGAGCAGGGCTCAAGGGCCTGGTTCTCTTGAGTTTCGAGTCTCGCTTGGGGCCTGAGGGGTTTACATCTTGGTTCTGCTTGCCTTCAGGAGGGCACCAAGCAAGGTTGCACTTCCGGTGCCAAACCCTAAGACCCTAAAGCGCACTTCCCTCCAAAAGGCATACCATAGATCAACCCCCACATTGTGCTGCAGCAGTCGGGGCTTGAGAGGCTGTTGGTGGATCCCAAGCTGCCAGGGAAGTTTCGGGTTGTAAGTTACTGTTTGACTCATCTAACGATGTTTGCTCAGCCGACAAGAAGAGCTTCCAGGCACAGCATTCTGCTACACATGGCTGAGCTCTTTGCTGACTTTGGCGGCGTTGCCGCCGGAACCTGGGTCGCCCCAGGTCACAACACTGCCGTCTGCCAATATCGCAGCAAAAGCGCGATCTGTCGCATGGATCTGCTGAACGTTCCTCACTACTTTGATGTCGCCTCCGTGCTTTTGCTGCGATCTTGGCAAATGGCAGTTTTGTGACGTGGGGCTACGCATACTCTGGTGGTGACAGCACCGGAGTCCAGGATCAGCTGAGGGATGTTAAGCATATCCATGCTGCAAGCGAAGCTTTCGCTGCGATTTTGGGAGACGGCACTGTTGTGACGTGGGGCGACCCAGATTGGGGCGGTGACAGCACCAGAGTCCGGGGTCAGCTGAGGAACGTGCAGTCCGTGCGACAGAGCGGGCTTTTGCTGCGATTTTGGGAGATGGTACTGTCGTGACGTGGGGCTACGCAGGCTATGGCGGTGACTGCACCAGAGTCCAACATCAGCTGAGGAACGTTCAACAGATCCACGCCACATATGGTTCTTTTGCTGCGATATTGGCAGACGGCAGCGTCGTGACGTGGGGCTGCAGGCTCCGGCGGTTACAGCACCGGAGTCCGGGATAAGCTGAGGAATGTTCAGCAGATCCACGCTGCGAGCGAAGCTTTCGCTGCGATTTTAGCAGACGGCACTGTTGTGACGTGGGGTGAGCCGCATTGTGGTGGTGACAGCACCCACGTGACAACCCTGTCTCCTCCAACACACCACAAGGCAAATGCACAGGATGTCGCAACGATCTTTGGCTGCTGCGCTATTGCTGTTACGCTGTCATCATTTTCTAATCCTTCATGTTGAAGCGTTTCTGTTCGATCCAGCAGGCGTCCGTTCGGCGCAGCGAGCTTCAGGAACATCTGCCCAAGAGACTCCTGTGCAGCCAGCTTCAACTCAGCAACGCTGCTGTCCAGTGGAAGCGATACAGTTCCACATCGTCCACTTGGCAAACACACTTGAAGGTTCAGGATTCTGCCACTCCCTACCTGTACTCTTTTGGGAGGACGTCCCCAGGCAATTGGCTGCTTGTCAGCTACCACGGCGGCCATGGGAGTGAAAGGTGCAGCCCCGTCAGCTCCAATAGCCACAGCCCAGTCAAGTTGAACTCACAGAGTTTGGGGTATCATCGACTTGCGCGCTTCAACCGCCCAAACCCAAAATAGTTCTAGGTTCTACGAGGGCCCCTTTGTCTGAGGGGATAGTGGGGCTACAAAGGAATTTGGACCCGTAGAGACTCCTCCCCCACAAACATGCAAGATTGCTCTGCAGCTTGAGCACTATACTGGTCACCGAATTAGCTTAAGAACCCCAAAAGAGTAAAAAACCAATATTCCCTACATCCGCCGAAGCCTCGGGCCGAAGGTGTATAGTTGTGAGAACAGGCACCCCTCTTCCTTTTTTTGCCTCAAATGGCTACCCCCCCTTGGCCACCGGGATCTGCAAGCAACGGTTCGCCAGGACCAGAGGCAGTTGGAGCCCGTCCCAGCAGCCCCCCCCCTCCCAACTCTCAACTCGAAACCCTAATCCCTAGGCCCTGAACCCTAAACCCAGCTTTGCTTAAGCCCGGAACCCAAAACCCAAAACCCAACCTTATTGCTTGGGGTCCAGCGACCCGGGCACTGCGGAATCACTGGACCGGGCCGAGGCGGGTCGCGTAGCGTTCAAATTACCCCTGAGCAGGAATATCATTTTTTGTTTTTCAGGGGTTCTTAAGCAATTGGTAGATTAGGGTTCAGGGCGATCGGGCCTTTGAAGTTCGATGGCATTTCCAACCATGGACAACTCATCTCGCAGAGGATGAGCTCAGGCTTCGCAACTTCGATCGGAGCATCGCTTGGCAACGCCCCAGCTGCGTGTCTGTAAGCTCAACCTCCTAAACCCTAAACCCTAAACCCTAAACCCTAAACCCGAAACCCCTTAAAAGCTCAAGCTCCTAAACCCGCATGCGCACGGAGACGCCTGGAACAATGGCTGCGCGCTCGGCGAAGCTCCCCACCTCGACCGCATGTCGGAGAGTTGGTCCTACAGCGCCTAGGGCTTCGTAGTTGGGATCCCTTATCAGTCCTTCATAGGGAGTACAGTAGGGGTACTCTAATCCCTTTTCAGGGAATCCTACAGGGCTCCTTAGACCTTCTTAGTTGGGATGCTCCCCCCTTAGACTAACACTCCGCGATAGGGACTACAATAGGGGGCACTATAAACCCCATTGAGGACTAGTATCTAGAAGGGAGAACATCCCAGCTTCCTGGGGTCAAGAGAGGTCTCTCCGGCTTTGGGGGCATCGGGCTCAGGGCTGCCCCAATGTTATTGAGATAGCTGCATAGCTTAAATGGGCCAGCAAAGGGGCGCAAGCTGAGGCGTGAGGGTAAACCCAAAACCCTGGCCAGGGTTCCTGAAATCCGGCTTCCTTCATCATCCTTCATCATGCTTCAACCCCGTGAAGGTTGACCCCTGCGTTTTTTCACCCCATGGAGCCCGAGATCAGAATTTGCTGCCAGGGTTGTGAGGGTACCTAAGAGGCTTCGGGCGAGTGGGATCGAACCAGATGCTTCTGAGAATGCTTGAGGGATACTTGCAGGGCTTCAAGGTGTCTCTCAGACGTGGGTTTAGGGGTTCTCCGTATCATTTTTCGTGGTTTGGCCCTCATGCTTCACAAGTGGGTTTTGGGTTTGGAGCTTAGGGTCCAGCCCTCAACCCCAGGGAGACTATGCAACAAAGAGGCCCAAACTTTGTCGACGCCATGCTGGGCTCTGGAATTCGAGCCCTTCAAGGGAAAGCCAGGGGCTCCGTTTTGGCAAAGGAAGGACCCTCAAAGCTCCTTCCATCTTGCGCGGTGGCCATGCCCAATACTTGCCGCCACTGCCTAGTCACTCTCGTGAGTGGGGCCTTGAGCCATACTGACCATAGTGGTAAAAAGGCACACACGGCAAGGACTTTCCAGCACCTACTCAACTTACATATGAGGTTCTGGAGCTCGGGGGGCGTGAGCCCACCAACCCTCCACCCCTCCCCCCCCCGCCATTGCGTAAGCGGTCCCAAAAGCAAAGGGTGCGGGGAATTTCGGGTCTTCGTCTGTGGCTCTCGAGGGTGCAAGTATAGGAGCGTTTGAGGGCGCATTTCGAGATGCGCCACTTTGGGAACCTGGAAACCGACGCCAGGCCTCTTTGACAACTCTGGGGCGAAACTTTTTGGAAATCTTTGCACATTTCTGCCACCGGAACAAGTGTTTTTGGGAGGTTTCGAGCAAGCTTGCCAAGTCGATGCAGTGTGGTCGTCGCATGTCTACACAGTCATTGTACATGAAGCCTCAGGATGTTCCCCCCTTATACTGACGGTCCTGAATAGGGATTATACTAGAAGGGTCCCTGTTGAGGACTGTTCGTATAAGGGGGAACATCTCAACATGAAGCCTTGGTTCAACCGTCCTAGCGAGGTGCAGTGCACAGAGACCTCCGTGCGCCTTCCCTGATGTGTCAAGGCACGCCGACACTTCGACCTGCAACCCTGAACCCTAAACCCTAAACCCTAAGGCTACTATGCAGTCTCACTCAGACCCTGTTGTGCGCGCTCGGGGATACTCTAGCAAGCAACTTGTTCCCAAAACGTGACACGGCCTGCAGGTTTTTTACTGCCAGCTTTCAGCACTGACAAACCAATGCTCAATGCATGAGGCATGAAACGGGGTGCAGGGAAAACCACGTTTGGGAGAAAGCCCTGTCCCCAAGCGAAACGATTCAGCAGCCAGCATCCTTGCAAGCCGACTCCGCATTGAACAAGGATCCATCTGCATCTGCTGCTATCCGTTCGGTCAACTGGCAGACTCGGTATGAAACTGCATCGGACCCTGAACAATCTTTACATGTCTCATGACTCCATCGAGTGGGCTGCAAGGGTGACAAAACCAAGGCCAGCTCCACAGGTCAAACGCGCAACTCGCCACGCCCAGGGGCCTCTGGGGCTTCAGTTGCCCCCCAGGCGTGTCGGCGGAAATTGCACGGAGTAGCAACTCACACCTAGTGCAGGTTGCCTTCAAATCCATGGCTACGGTTTCCCAGCTCATGAGAAACCTGGGCACAAAGGACAGAACAGGGAAGCGACGGGCAACATCTTGTAGGAAACCAAGACATGAGACCTACCCTAAAAAAGATCCTAAGAATACACTCCCATCAGAAGAAGGACTTCGCCAGGATCTTGCTGAAGCACAGCATTTTGGGACCGGCTCCCGAATTCTCCAGCACTGCTGGGCAGCTCCAAGATAGGTGATATGAGTCATATGAGGGTTACATGACGCCATGCTGACCTCATTCTGCTGACTGAAGACTGAACCATGAAGCAAAAAAGCGACGCCCATTGAAGCTGCAGATCAAGTGACAATAAGCTTCAGCAGCTAGACCCAATTAACTCGACAAGCGAGTCACTAGCAAAGACTGCCTGCCACAATCCCACGAAAGATCCCCCCAGATGCCACAGAAAACTCTTGCCGTATCTTACCTGCCAGGGCCCATGATCCTGGCATGCCCATATCCAGAATTCCAGGCAATCGTAGTTATGACCCGACCGCACAGACGGATTCATGCAGAACACAACTCTGCATGATTGGAGCGCTCAGCGCACCGTCTTCCCCCCATCAAACAACCCTTCATATTTGAAGCCCCTGAGTACCATTACCCCCACCACTCCCACCACAACCAGCAAAAACAGCACGCCACCACCACCACCACCACCACCACCACCACCACCACCACAACCAGCAGCAGCAGCAGCACCAGCAGCAGCAGCAGCAAGCAAACGGCTTTGTGCACCATTGCTTTATACCTTCCTGACACTCTCCTACAAGCATTGCGCTGCGTGTGGCAGGCTGAGCGGGAGCGGCGCCCAAAAAGACATGTATTGATATGGTAGATCCCTCTCTTCGGGCCCTCCTACGAGTCTGCCAATCTGTTGGGGGCCCTTAGAGGGACCTGTCTTCAACGTGCATCCGTGTGGGCAGGACCCCTGCAAGAGTTTAGGGGACTCTTCGGAAGGGTTTGGGGCTGAGAAGGGTTGGAGCCATTTAAGCTCGTGCTCTAGGGTGTACACGGAACGGATCCTGGAGGTATATGTGGCGAGGAGCTTCCTGTCTTGGAGGACATGCTTCATGCAGTGCCATAGACAACCTCTCGCATTCAAATGGATGTTCCAAGAAAGGTTCGTAGTTGGTTCGTAGTTGGCTCGTAGCTCGAAGCGAACGTGGCCGAGTCTTGAGGGCTTTTGGATGGGGAGGCCGCACGCCCACACAAAACCGAGATCTCGCGCTGGATACTTTGTCTGCGCTTGTGGGTTCTTGGCCTGCGAGGATCTTGAATCTTCTGCCACCGCAACAAGCACATGGACAGCAAAAGAGACAGCAAGAACCCACTGTGAAGCAGGCCAGCGGACCCCAGAGCACTACCAGGCTTGACCACTTTCACTTATCGGGTTGGGGGGGCCCTATACAGATTCAACTTTCGAGAGATTGGTGGGAGATGAGGCTTTAGAAGACAGGATATCGCCGTGGTGTAGCTTACCATGCAAGAGAATGAGCACTACATCGTGAGTTATACCAGGAGGTTCATGGCTACTTGCACCCAACTTTGTACAGTTATGAAAAGGGTAAAGAGTGCCTGAACCTCCAAGTACGGTTCTACAAACTGCAAATGACCTCTGCGCTCTCCCTGCCCAAATCTAGTCAATGGTAGAATGCCATTCCCAGACATCTCTTGAACCATAAGGCGGTTTCGGGAAGTAGGGGTGCCTCATTGGAGTCTTATAAGAAGGGAATCGTACTATTTCGGGGTCTGTTTCAAAATTCCCCCTACTAGTCTCGTAAACACCCACAAGAGGTCAAGCAGGCTCGGGCCATTTTCAGCCCTGTGATGGGGCAGAAAAGTTGGAGCTTGTTGCTGACCGGAGCCTGAAACGGTTGGACTGGGGGCTTTACCTTGATGCACCGACTTCATGATACAATGAGTTTTGGTTGGGACCGCAAGAAAAAAACTAATGCCACCGACATTTTACAAGTTCCGCGTCGGCCTCCGTCTGAATTCGAGTTCTCTTGGTGGGCCACTCTAAGGTCTGGCCCGCTCTGGGGCTTCTGGCATAGTAGAGGACCCTTTTGGAACCCAGACTCTGCACGGCAGCTGGCACGATGACAACAGTGTAGGACCCTAAACCCTAAACCCCTTTTGCCCTAACACGAAACCTAAACCCTAAACACCAAGTATAGTCCTCATTGCTTTCGGCAGTTAGCCAGGGACCAGAACTTAGAACAGCCCCGGCTCCAGGAAGTCCTCTGACTCAGTGCCCTCGGTCCTGCGACAGGGTGTGGCATTGCGTTTCCTGCGCTTCGTCTTAGGTGGGATTAGAAAAGAGGCCCACGGGACATGTGCGGAGCAGCTTGCAGATAGTGTATAGGGTTTTCAAGCAGCTCTCTTCCGTCTCCCGACTTTTTTGTTGGTGCGAACAAGGCTTGGGCTTAGCTGGGCATGGTGACAGCTGAGGGTTCAAGTGCAAAACCTGCTTCGGAAATAGCTGTTGCGAAGGGTATGGGGCTTCTGGTTCCAGACATGTATAATTTCGGAAACCCACTTGGAACAAGGCAGCGTTAAACGGGATATCTTCCAGCTTGTGATTCCCCTGGCCAGGAAATCTGCATCCCTTCGGATGATGGGAAGAGAGATTTGCTGTACTCTTCGAGCTTATGATGGCCCACCTGCTACGCTACCTCTTTGGGACGGCGCGTCTCGTACGTGCACCAGAGGGAGTCCTGCTCGAAAACTTCAGTTGCAAGCTGCTTTTCGAAGCGATTGGGCCCGGCCTCCACCAGCTGCACTAAAGCCAGGCTTCGAAGCGACTGCGGACGGAGGGGCACCTGCCAGAAGATCGAAGCTGTCTCTAAGAGTCCAGGGGTGTAGGGGTTGACCCTTTGTTTTTTCAAATATGGCCTGAGCAAGACGAAGTTACTACTTCCACTACTCCAGTACCACTACCACTACGACTACGCCTACTACAACTACGACTCCTAACGACGACGCCGACGCCGACGACGACGACGACGACGACGACCACGACCACGACGACGACCACGACGACGACGACGACGACGACGACTGCGACAACGATGCTTTGCCTTGCTTTACCTTTTCCCGCTTCACACCCAAGTCGGAGTTAATTTACAACAAAACTGTCGAGATGAAAGTTTCTCTCTCTTCCGGTAAACAACAGTCTGTGGGTTTATTTGGCTTGAGGAGGTGGGAGGGCGATGGGGCTGGGGGGGGGGTCTGTTGCGACAATGTTACTCTAACCATGCCCAAAACACTTGTATTTACAGCTTTTTTAGTTGATTTGTTTACTTAATGTAATTCCAAGTACTTAATTTTAATGAATTTTGCAACAAAATTACTAAATTTTAATTAGCGTTAAATGAAAAATTATTTGATATTTTAAATTTTTAGCTAACCTCAACAAACTAAATAGTTGTAATGATGATTTTTCTGAATAGTTGTACTTAGTCTGAGTTAATTGTACTTTAAAAATTCATTTTTGATAAATTGCAATTCTTATTAATTCTATTTCATTTTAGTTCATGTTAATTACTTTTCAATAAATATTTCTTTTTAATTCAATTTATTTGATAAATTTCCATTTATTTTCAATAGTCAGGCCTGCTCCTAGGCGAGGGAGGGGTCTGTTATGGTATCACCAACACTACCACCCCTGCAACTCACTTGCATTGATTTGAGTTCCTAAACCCTTCGAAACTTTTGGGGAAGACCATGGTTCTGTCCTTGCTGTCCTTCAACAAGAGCCTAGAAAAACTCTTCCTTCAAACCCCCCAGCTCAGGGCGCAGGGTTTCGGCCTCTTGGACAAGCTGGGAAGTGAAGCGCTTCGGCAGCACGTGCACGCTGTCCTTCTCTGCGGCTCTTCGAGTTTTCGGCTTTACAGGGGGGTCAGAGTAGGGGGTTCCCCCTTAAACTAACAGTCCTTAGTAAGGGTTATAATAGGGGGTACTATCATCCCTATGAAGGACTGTCAGCATAAGGGGGAACATCCCAAGGTACGTACTCTTTCAGAACCAAGCGTAGTACTTGGAGTTTAGGGCTTGGGGGAAGCATACCCTCCTGCATTCGCACCCAACGTCGAGCCCTGAACAAAACAAGCCTTCATGAAAACCCACTCGTTCGTGAGGGGCGCTCACTGATAGAGTTCTCTGGGTGCTTCTCAAGGGAAGGGGGCCCATTTACGGTTCTCAAAATGGTCGGGACCTCCCAGTAAATGGGCCCCAGTCTTGAAGTCACGTCCTCTAGCATCCCTTCCCGGCCCTATGGTTGGGTTTCCCAGGCTGTGGGCGGTTGACACCATAAAACCTACACCAAAACTGCCAAAACCCCAAGAAGCCCTTCAAACCCTACACCTTTGTAAGCCCCAAAAAGCTCAAGCCCGAACCCTAAAACCACCCGATGGACCTAAACTCTCCATCCTGAACCCCCCCCCTCCCTCCCAACCGCAAAAAAAGCAAAAAACTGCCCCAAAAAACAAACCAAAAAAACCAACCTTTTCACAAGGGACTCGACTGCTACCCTTTCTGCCCAGCCCGCTCCCACGCCACAGTTCCTATGACTGCAAAAAAAAAAAAAACCAACCTAAAATCCTAAACCCTCGGTCGGGTGTCCCCGGCGTGCTCGCAGGGCACGGCGCCGCGCACGCCCGCGTCCACCAGGATCCCGCGAGCGCAGCCGTTGGGCGCCGGGCAGAACTCGGAGCCCAGGGCCTGGAGACAAAGGAGAAGAGCAGCGCGCTTTGTGTGAATGGGGGTTATCTGGGGGGGGTTTGGGGTTTGGGGTTTTGGGGTTTTGGGGTTTGGGATGTGGGGGCTTACGGTGCGCTCTGTACAAAGGACTTGGGCGGGGGCTTTTGGGTTTTCGAGCCGTTTTGGCGGCGGTTTGCGGCAGCTTTTGATGGGAGGCTGCACTCAACAGATTGGTCTGGTTGCTTCCACGGCCTGTCCTCAGGCCCTTACGGGATCTCAGGATGTTCTTCGCATTCAACATAATCCAGCCAGGTTGCGTGAGCTCAGGGCTCTTCATGATGCCTAGGTATCGTATGGCCTGTTGGGTTGGAATGCCTCACTCAGCCCAACCATTCTGCATCTGGCAAGTATTCACCGTTGTGAGCATGAAGAGCCGGGCCTGCAATGCCACGGTGGCCAGCCTCCAAGTTGTTGCAGGCTTGCAGGGCCCCAAGGCTTTGGGGGGTTTGGGTTGTTCTAGGGCTTGTGGCAGCATGCTAGCACTGCACCCTTGCCTGACAGCACAGAACCGCAAAACCACAAAACCATTGAAAGGCAACTTGTCGCAGAACTCGAGTACCATGCAAAACCTCCGCCCCGAGCTTCTGATAACACTGTACTGGCGCTGGCAAAGCTCTTGTTACTTCTAGCTTGATACCTGCTACCACCAGAACCATACCCCTCAGCCTGGACACACCCAATGACATTCTCGAGGCCTCTGCCCCAGCGGTTGGCCAGGGTCTGCTGCAGCTGCCAACTGAACCTTCAGAGCCTGATCGCTACTGCAAGGACGACTTGCCAAAGCATAAAATTGATGTGGCTATTCAGGAGCGGCAGTACTAGATAGCCGTGTGAGTTGTGTTAGTCGTAGTCGTCATCGTCGTAGCTGTAGTAGTCGTGGTCGTACGAGGAGCTGTAAGAGCAATAGCAGCAGCAGTAAAAGTACTAGAACAACTCTTCCTGCTGCTACGGCGGCTGCCCTGCTCCTACTGCTAGTATTGCATCCAATTTGCCATACAGTAGAATAGCATTCGCCATACAAAGGACGATGCTGGCATGGCCCTTAAAAATGTAGCCGCGAACATCTTTGTCACCATTCTAGCTTGCGATGTCCATAACCCTCAAGAACGTCTCTTTCCCTGGACCCTTACAAACTAGCCACTCCGAAATCGCAGGCGCCTCCCACGCATCCGGAAGGGCCACGTGCTCCAAATGCTTCTGCTTCAGTTGCTGATCTTGGTAGGACGCCAGCGCCTGCACACAGCAGCAGGCAGTAACGTGGTGTACACTACTTTGCTGATCGGGTAGTCTCTATAATGCAATTTCTGGTCTGCGATCCTGCATATACTAGGGTTGCTAGGGGATCGTGCGCTCTTCTGCTACTCGGGAGCTACGGGAAGCTTGTGTGAGAAATTGCCTCCTGCACGTGCCGGGGCACGGAAGCAAATGACAAGACCATGAAAGCGCTCCAAGAAACTGAGCCGTTTGAGGGCCAAGCCGCTTGGAAAGTTATCACTTGCTGCGTCAGCGACCAGGCTGCCCGGTCCAGGGCAGCTGCCGCGAGCACCTCAGGAAAAGCGGGGCCGTCTTTAGGTGCGTCAAGGCTTTTCAGTGGATTGACTTGCTGACTTGCTTTTTGTATCCCATGCCCACATCAGGTCATGGTCGGGACGCACGAGCCTGCGAGCCACAACCTTGAGAAAACATCATTACTTTCTTGGCAACAAGTCTTCTCATGTTGCTTCACTGTTCAGTGTTGCAAAGGGCGCGGGCTTCCTTCCGATGAATGCTTCTCCGCCCTCCACACCCGAATCGTCAGAAACCTACTAAAACTTTAGTAGGCCCTAAAACCCCGAACCCTGCACCCCAAACCCTGCACTAAACTCTACGACCCATGGGCCTGACTCTGCAAAGCCAGCGCTGTCGTGTTCTGGCACGAAACCTCCACCTCCACATCCTGTCAGCCGTGAGGCTTGAGTGTTGTGCTTGTACACGTCATTTGTAATAGCATGTTCTACTTTATAGTATACTCTAGCAGCTATAGTGTACCCGAATATTCAAAGCATTCGTTGCTTGTCGATGTTATGCGATAAGCAATATCTCCTCCTTCGCGGAAAAGGTTTCGAACTGCTTAGAAGGTACTTGTCAGGGATTGTGGGCTTTCAAGGCGTGCTTGGTGTATTTGAATGAGGGTAAGAGACTTTTCGTGAACTTGGACGTGTGGCTTCGGGCTGCCAGCTTGCGATAAAAATCCCGAGAGCAGGGACAGAAGCTTTCCCGGGCGTAGGCGAAACTTACATCATGACAAAAGCATACTAACCTGACGAAGCTGACAGAGTGCGTAATGGCATCATTTTGCGGGCAACCTTGTCGTTGCAATCGCCTGTCATCGGAACAAACATGCCCAATGGGAATCTGAACCTAGACTCCCCCGAAACAAAGAAGATTCTGCCACCCCGATGGAGCAGAACGAGAGTCCGAACTTTCATAGGCCAAACATGCTTTTACACCGGATTTTCTAAGTTCTACGGCCCAACATTTCCCGCAACCCAGACTGCAACCCTCCCCCTGCCCCCTCCACGGCTAGAGCAGTACTTGGTGTTCGATCCAACATGTGGCACGTCGTTGAGATACTTTGGTTTATCCCCCATCCCCGAAGACTCTTGAGATGGGTTTTCCCCAAAATGGCGGCACCCCTTTTGTACCCCAAACAGAATGGAATCCCCTCAAAAGAACAACCAGGGTGCCCGTATGTTCGGAAACCCGAAATTGTTTCTAAACCCTGTGGGCCCTTAATTTAGGTACCCCCCCCCCGGCCTTGGCCCAGTCTTTCAGAAGCAGCAGGAGCTGCTCGTCCTCGAAGGCCTCTGGCAAGTTGGGGCAAGGTGCTTGCTACGGGGAGGATTGTTCCAGAGGGCAGTTAGATTTCAGAGGACCTCTCACCAGCTTCGAATTTCCACTGCTCTTGCACAGAAACTCTTGTTGCCGGGTCTTTGATAGCATCAGGATCGTTTATAGCATCCAGGACTAGCCCATGTTCTAGGAGGGTCAGCTGTGCTAAGTTGTCAGAGGGAACCTTTCAGAAGAGAAGGCTCTTCCTTCGAAGTGGGGGAAGGCCCAGTCGGGTAGTTTGGAGGTTCCAAGTAAGGCAGAGGTAGAATTACCAGGAGAGCTGCTTTCTTAGGGCAAACTGCCGATCAAGGTTTTTGCTTCCCCGTGTGTAGGGACGCTACAGACTGACTGATGCCTCGACCCAGCCGCAAAGCCAAGCAGATTCTCGGCTCGACCCTGTTTCCCTGTAGAGAAGCAGTATGCAGTATGCTGTCCTCTTTCTGGCTTCTATTTTCGCATACGCCCGAACCCTAAATCCTACGATCGTCAGTCTACTGTACTGCTGTGGTTTCCCAAATTAGGGTACCTTGTTGGGTCCTGACTAGAAGGGAACCCTACCAGTTCGGGGGCTTATTTTTAAGGTCCGCTATGTCCACCTATGGAAAGGGAAACTCAACAAAGGAACCCCAAGAACTTGGCAGCCGTGGGGCGATCAGAAGGTGCTCGGCGGCGGCTACCGTGGTCGCCCAGGCCTGGCATTATTGGAGGAGGGGAAACATGCTTTTCTCTCCATGGTTGCATAGGAAGTTGCCAAGAGCTTCTGAAAGGCTTTGTACAAGTCTTCTCTATGCCTCTGTTGGAGTTGTAGAGCTGTTTAAGTAATGTGGCTAGCCTAACTTCTCAACGATGCAAATACACAATAAACATTTGCGTCAATGTAAGGCCTAGGGTCCAGGGCACTTCTTTTAGAAACGCTGGGTTTCTCCTCGGAGTCCCTGGCCTTCGCAGATTTCAAGTATGCGGCGCTACTTGTGGTGGTCTCGGTTTTCTGGGTGAGGTATCACTGGCTACGATTACGACAGGAGTTGTGAGCGATAGCTCTCTTGCTCAAAGCTTCTGACCCTCTGACTGTGGACAAAGGGCATCCACCCCCCGGATTCAGATTCCATGCCAGGCAAAGGCCGCAAAAGTCGCCAGGGCACCGAAGTCAGACTTTTGAAAGCCCAAAAGCACCTCAACACTCCAACCGACCCTCGGCCATGTAGATTCCCCATTTTTGCATCCAGGGGCCCCTTTTTTTGTGACCCTTTTTGCATCCAGGCTTGGGTGAGCGTGCCCTAAAACCCTGAAAACCCTAAACCCTAAACCCTAAATCCTAAAACCCTGAACCCTGAAACCCTGAACCCCGAAACCCTCCCGGGCCTCAATCAAGACCTCCTGACTCCGCTCCTCAGCTCGGACGGCAAGCTGCCAGGCCTCGTGCAAAGCCTTGCGCAGGGCTTCTCCCGCGCAGTTCCGCGCTACACACTTTATGGAGACATTCTTTAAATTATGGGGGGTCCCTGAATTGAGGTCCTTTTCTTGTTGAAGGGTGCCGCAGTATCTAGGGGACCCAAAAGGTGACACTTCTATTTTAGAGAACTACCCACATTTGGAGAGTCCGGAGGTTTGGCCTCACTGGGGGCTTCGGGGGCCAGGGGTTGTCGGGGACCTGTTGAGGGCTTTCTTCCAAAATCCGGTGCACGACTTTTCAGACATGCCCACAGAAGTCCCTTTGAAAACCCTGGCATACACCTGGTTGAGTTTTGCGTAAGCAAAACGAAGCTCCGGGATGGGGCCCGGGATCTTGGAAGCGTCTTTTGCAGCAAAAGAACGCTTGTTACGTACAGAGTGGAGCCGTGGAGCATCCATGCATGGACAAATTGCGCGCTTGCGGGCGTCGCCCTCCTGCAATTTTCACGAACTCCTCCAGCTGCCTTTGACTTCTGGGTGCGATGTTTGGGTATGTCATGACGGCCTCGGAGCCATGTGCTCATCAAGGAGTCTGGGGAAGGGTCCCGGGGCTTTCAGATCAGCCCCAAAAAAAGGTCAGGTACTGGCGTCCGCGCGAGTGCTTTGCCATTTGTCGTTGTACTTGAAGAAATAGGTACACCCGGTACGCGCAACGTACTTTGCATATCTGCTTTTGCATTTAACTGTTTGTGTGTGTGTGTGTGGGGGTGAGCTTGTATTTGTTGTGGCTTTTTTGTTGTTGTTCTTGTTGTTGCCGCTGTTCTTGCTCTTGTTCTCGTTCTGGTTATCGTCGTCGTTTGGTTCTTCCTCTTATTACTCTTCGTCTTCTTGTTCTTCGTCTTCTTCGACTTCCTCTTCTTAATCTTCTTCTTCTGCTTGCTGTTCCTCTTGTTGTTCCTCTGGGTTGTTGTTCTTCATCATTCCGGTCTTGTCTCTTGGCTTCCTCTCCTCCCCCTTCCCGAGAAGCAAACAGCCACGAACCCTTAAGTCCTCGTCTTTGGACAGAGCCGGCTGTGGCCTTGTAGGCCCTATATAAAGCCCAATCAAACCCCAAAACGCTAAAGCCTCTCTCCCTAACCCTAAACCCTACACCCTAAACCCTCTCTCCCTAAACCCTCTCTCCCTAAACCCACAAACTTTCTGTCTCGGCAAACCGGTAACCCTAAACCCTAAACCCTAAAACGTCCCAAACCTTGGTATCGGCGTCGCACCGCGTGAAGTTGTGCGCAGCGGCCAACGCCGCATCCATTTGCCGCATGGCCTTTGAATGCCTGGCTGGGTTGTCCTTAAGGTTTCTCGCATTGTCCCTTTGGCGGTTCCCCTATTCTCATCGACACCTTGCTCACGAACACGGAAACCCAAAGCCCACAGAACGTAGAGCTCAACGGGGCAATCCCAAGACGCAAAAACACTCAAAAAAAAAACGCACGAGCGGCAGCATCGTGTAGGTGCTGTGCTTCTCGTGGCAGCGTATGAGGGCTTCCACTAGCGGCCTGAGAGCCGGCATCCTACTGGCGTCAGTCGCAGCGGAAGGATTAGGGTTTAGGGTCTCCTCAGAGGGTTCTTTTTTGTTGAAGTGGTTAGATTCTTCTTCCTCTTCAGACCTGCTAACCCCTGCTACCCTACATCCTGAACTTACACAAACTTCCTCACGCCCTGAAACCCCAAAACCCTGAAACCCTGAAACCCCAAAACCCTGAAACCCTGAAACCCTGAAGGGCCCTCTACGAAGCCAGACAATGGGCTTCTCAAGAACGTCACATGGCATAAGGTCCGCGCGCGGGCAAAGTGGAGGAGCCCAGCTTGAATTGCAAGGCCTCTGCCTGACCGCAAGGACTCAATAAAAGAAAATAATAATAATATTATTAATAATATTAATTATAATAATAATAAGAATATTATTAATAATATTAATTATAATAATAATCAGAATAAGAATAAGAATAATAATAATCATTGGGGGAGAAAGGCTGAAGGGCTCCCCCGATTAGCAGAGGTTTCGTCGCGGTAGTCGCAGCAGCCCATAGCAGTGAGCAATCATAGTTGTAGCCGCAGCTAGAGTCGTTAGCAGTGGCAGTGCTATTTGTGTCAGCAGTAGATAGCACAATAGTCATCAGCATCATCATCATGCTTGATTGCTGCAGTTCTAGCACTAGACATCATTGTCCTCGCTGCAATGGTCCTAGTTTTGCAATCATGAACTTCACTGCTAATTCCAAAAGTAACGTGAGCAAGGATGGTCAGTAGTTGCGGAAGACATGCTTGAAGAAATAGCAGTCATCACAACAATGAGTCATCACTAGCAGCAGCAGCAGCAGCAGCAGGAGCAGCAGCAGCAGCACCACCACCACCACCACCACCAGCACAACCACCACCACCATCACCACCGCCACCATCACCACCACCACCTGTAACTACAATCAAGTCAGTAGCAAGTAGCAACAAGCAGCAGCTAGCAGTAAGCATTCGTACCTCGTAACTAGCAGCAGCCGGTCGTACGGCGACAAAGGACCAGCAGTTCTACTTGGCTCAGGCTTCCAGTACATACTCCTCGCTCTCAAAGCCCAAAGCCTGACGCCCCGAAGGCAATAAAGCTGAATCTGACATCCTTGCAAGAAGGAGCTGACCTATGTGGAGATCATGCAGGAAACTTAGCTACAAAGGGCTGTGGGGCTCGGAGGCTCGGGGAGGCTTTGGGTGCACGCTTGTGGCTTTAAGTAGCATGCAGTATCATACAACACATGGTCCAAAGCATATTTTCATAGTCAGAGTCGATAGAAGCATACAGTACAGCATATTGTCTAGCATAGAGATATAGTGCACACCTTACGACACGCTGGCCACCTGGAAACTGCTTCATGCCCCAAATCCCTAGAACCCAAACCCGGAAGCCTGAACCCTAAGCCACAGATCTCCCCTGTGCAGCCAGTTGCCTGACCGGCCAGCTTGCGCTGCTGCGCCGTGTCCTGGCCAGGACTATGGGTGGCTTCCGGCATTCGGGGTTCTGGGTTGAGGCGACGACTTGCGGTCCGTGTAAATAGTAGCTGCAGCGGCTTCTTGCTGTCTTGCAGAAAGAACACCAACCATCAAGCTCTACAGTTCAAACGGTCCCCTGAGACCTCACAGCTTGGGAAACCGCTTCTTCACCCGAAATCCTCTAGGGCTTAGAGCATCACGTTTCACTGTTCAGGCTGACAGCCAAAATAGCCATAGCCAGAATCCACATTGCAGGAGCCAAAACTAGTACCACCACCTGCCCCTTCGACAGAACCATCAGCTGCCGTAAGATGCTACACGCCAAAAACACCTGTCTTCTACTTCTTTCGGCCCGCCCCCCTGCTTGATAAGAGGCTTCCCTGGGCGTTCCCGGCCTCCCTGAGCCACTGGAGCTTATCCGCCATCGGGGGCTCCCGAGCTCCCACCTTCAGCCGCTGGCGGAAGCTGGCCTGTGGGGGGGCGGGGGGGAAGGGGGGGGGAAGGGGCTGCCGGGGCGAAGGCATGGTTTCCTAAAGGAGCCCTTTGGCGGCGATATGCGGCGATAAGCTAAGTGTTTCGTTAAACTCTTGACTTCCACTGGACTTGCTGCCCGGAGCTCTCTGCAAAGCCTCGTGTGACCTAGTGCCGCCTGCTCTGCAACTAACCGGGATCCCTTGCAACTCCAGGCGTAAACCACGCATGCCAAGTCTGCGGCCTTCCAAACCCATAACCTGCGATACCTCCTCTCAAGCTTAACTTCACACTGCCCGCCTGGAAATGGTGCAGCATGCCACGCGCAGCCTAGAGTCAAACGCGACCGTGAGGGGGGGGGCTTGCGCACCACATCAGGCCCACAGAGCTTGGGACTTGCAGCGGATCAGAGGCCCGGAATCGGACGAGAGAGGATTGCGGGGCCTTCATGCGCAGCGGCCAGCTCTGCTTGGAGACATTCACGGTAAGGGACGCAATGCGGTCGTACAGCTCCTGCCCTTGGATGCCGGGACTTCGTACGTCTGAGGTTGCAAATCTGCGAACTTTGTGTGATGCGAGCACAAACTGCATAACTCAGGGTCACAGTTTAAGCCCACAATAAGAGCAGCTGGGGGCACCCAGAAGAATGAATGCCTTAGACATTTCCTCGTTTCTTCCTGTGTGAAATGTCTGTTCGACTTGTGAATTTGACTTGTCCCTGAACCTCCCGTTTTCATCTGGCGGGCATGTGTGGCTAGTTTTCTGAAGGGTAGGTCAGGTACACAAGACTGGCGAACTGCAACAAGGAAGAACATTTTAAGCCAAGGATGGAGTTGCAGAATAGGTGTTTCTTTCATCCGCGACCCAAAGGCTGGCGGTCCTCATGATCATGATAACTGTGACAGTCCTCCTTATTATCTCGAGCAGCGAAAGGCACGCCCCGAGACCCCCTGAACACAAACCTATGTGACGACCGCCTCCCCCCCGCCCCCCCCCTCTTCTCGAAACGGAAGAGGCTTCAAGCGGTGGGCCTGCTGCTTGGTGCCAGTGGAGGATCTCCCGCGAGAGGCGGGGAGACGTGCCCTGGCCGAGAGGCCCCTTCTTTGGGGGGGTTGGCACGAAATCATGTCTCTCTTGTGGGTACACTGCAAGATTATGGGGTAGACAAGAACAGGAACACAAACTCAAACTGGAGGCTCCCATTTGCCCTTGGGGCTGTTGAAGTCGGGGGCTCAGGACACTGTTTTGGATTCTCCTCGACACAGATCGGGATGATGATACGTCTTGAGCGCGTGGAAAAGTCATCAGGAGGAGCAGCCGTCGAAGTAGTTGTAAGCGAAACAACAGCAGCAGCAGGATTAGGAAAGTAGCTGCAGCAGTCGTAGCAGCAGCAGAAGTCGTCGTTGTAGATTGCATCGCCAGTCCCTGTTCTCTAAGCATTTCCTAATCCCAAGCGCAACCCCCATGCGGTCCATGGGGTCAAAACCAAGCTTTGGACCTTCATGTGCTCGAAGTCGACCTGCTGCAGCTCCGCAAGCAAGGTGCTGGCCTCCGGCACTTCTTCTGGCTCCTCTGTGTCCTCGGCAGAAGAGAGCAAGAATGCGATGAGAAGAGAAGACTGGCTTCAACAAGCAGCTGCTCGTGCCCAAACAATTGCTGTCCACTGAAACAACAAACCCAGCCCCTGCAAACCTCTCAAGTCCAACCACCCACAAACCGAAGACACAACAAAACACAACAAAAACCCGAAAAAACTCTCTAAGACTCTAAGCCGCCGTGCCTGCTGTGTGGGCGCCGGGGTGAGGACGGTGCCCAGGGCCCAAAGGATATACTGGGTCTGGTAGTTGAGCAAGGCCTCGGGATGAGGTATTGCCAGTTGGCTTCTGGTGATTCAGGGCTTCGGCGCGAAACGTCGGTCAACAAACGCTCTTTCTGTGATTTTCAAAAGGGTCCTTGCTACTCAAACACAGAATAAGGATACGACTGGGCAGTTCAGACACAGCCCTGGACTTTGGTATTGTGACCGAAACCCTTTCCTATTTACACAAAGGCGAGCTCATGCCAACTCCCTGAAGCACAGACCCCACCCACAAAAAAGCAACAAAACACAACCATCATATACACTCACACCACGTATGAACATCCACCAAACACAAGAAAACTTGCGCCACCAACAACAGCAACAATAACCCCCCCCCCCCCCCCCCCTCCTCCGCCCCCCCAGCCCTACCAAACCCCTCTGAGGTCCAAACAGATCCGCAAAACCCCCCCCCCCCCCCCCCGAAACAAGGTCCTTATGAGCTTCCCCTAATCCCTAATCCGAAAGTCAAACCCTCCAGAACAAATCCCCCAAGTTCCAGCGTCCCCCCCCCCCCCCCCAGTCGCCTGAAGATTCTTCATCAGGATCTTCTGGGAGTCCTGGCGCGCCAAAGGGCTCCGCATGACATTTGGGGTCTAGGAACGCAGGAGCCTCAACGATTTGTCTTATAACAATTCCCTCAACAATTGCTATTGAAATCAATCAGGCCCCTGTGTAATCTGGTAATTTGGTTAGCAGCGCTTTTTTTTCCAGGCTTGAGGGCCACCAACATTTAGGAGGTAGGCAAGATTTTGTAAGATCTCAGAGGACGAGTTTCCCGGGCTCTTGGGCCCTGTGGACCCTTTGGAGAGAGCCCTCAGAGGCGGGACTTGAGCTTCCACGAGGATGGTCTCGTAGTTTGCCCTCTGCAGCAACATCCAGTGCTTTTGCACCCTGCTTGAAGTCTACACCTTCATGCCAACTGGCCCTGCCACGACTCCATCTCCAAAAGCGCGCACCTCAAATCGCTTCCTGGAGGCCAAAGCCCACAACTCCACATTGCTTGCGACTTGGCGTCTCTGGGAAGAGCTTCAAAAAGGGGTCCTTCTAGGCCCTTGGGCCGGTCCCCCCCGATGCATCTGAAAACCCCCCAGAGTTTGAAGATTGCTCTGAAGGCCTCTAACAGGATGGATCTAGTTTGGGTTCCCTTTTTTGGGGCCACGAAGAAGAAGCATCTACGTTTATTATGCATGGTACCCCATGAAAAGGGACCCCCCATCTTCAGATCCCTTTTGCTTTAAGAGGAGGGTGCCTGCAGGCTCTCGAGGACGGCCGAGGTGCCAGCGCGCACCGAGTTCTGCACGCAGAAAAGGTCGCACATCACCTGTCACATGAGCTCCATAAAGGTCTCGTGAAGAGCCATAAGACCAGCAAACTCTGCTGTAAGCCATAAATAACCAGTAAGCTCTACTGTACTTCAACGCTCCCCCCCGGCTTCTTGTAGTGGAGTCTTCGGTAGACATCACCACGGCGAATGTAGGCAGGTGTTATCGAGGCCAGGGCCTTCCGGAACCTCTGGGGCCCCCTGAAACTCTTTGATTCTTTGGGTTCGGAGCAGCTTTTGAGAACTCTCTCCAGTACTTTGGGCAGTAGAGACTGCAACGCAGGATCCTGAAGTCCAGAACATGAAATCGCGCGAGGGTTACACTCACAGGTGCACGGGCTCAAAAAATCGGTAGGGTCGCAGGCAAAGGGTCGCAGGCAGCACAGCACTTGAGGTCTGGGCCCATAAGACTGAAGCAGGGCTCACAAGGGCCCACAGGCTCCCCCAAATCACTCCCAAAACCCTAAGAATATCCTAAGAATCCTACAAGCCCTTCTCAGACCCGCGAGGACCCCAGCAACGGCACAAGAAAGCGAAGCCCAGAGCGATGTGCAAAGCGGGCCCTGGCCTTTGAGAGCCCATACTGCCTTGGGGAGTTGCTCTTGGTGTTCAAATTTGGTGTGTTCAGTGAAGCTTTATTGTGGGGCGGGGGGGAGGGTGGGGTTGTTTAGGCCATGCCTAACTCTTACTCATCAAGAACAAGCAGGCGCTCTTTTGCAAACGGATTTAGTAGTAAGAACGCGTGTCAGTTTGATGGTGTGGTTTTCTTCAGTTGTTCCTCTTCCCGTGGGCTTGTGCACATGACAGCCTTTTGGGACATGTCCCTCTTCAGTAAGACTGTGCATCCTCCCGTGATGTTGCTGGTGTTGAAGCGTTCCTAGGTGTCCCTTCGTATCTCTGTTCTCTGTCTTCTGCTGTTTGCAGTGGGCTGTGCACAAACCTATGGGAAGAGGCACATAAATGAAGAAAACAGCACCGTCAAATTAACAGCCGTGTCCCTGGTCCTAGAAGTTGTAAAAACTCATAACCAAAAAGAGGCATCTGGAACAAGCAGACCAGGATCTGGTCTCCTTCCCCTCGGAAACCCACCCACCCCCCCATCCTTCCTCTGGCCCGAAACGCTGCCTCCCGACCTCCTCCCCGGACCGTCGTGGCATCGTCGAGCACTGCTCGAAGCTATCGCGGTCCGCTGCGTTCATGACATACCCGTCAGTTGGATCCAACATACGAACCCTAAACCCTAAACCCTCAACCCTAACCCCTAAAAAGCCGATAATCTTGCGACCTGGGATCAGAGGCAGACAGTCTGCCCATGTCGCTTCAGCCATCTGCTTCTTGAACCTGAGCGGCTTCTAGCAACACAATCCCTTTGAAACCTTCATCTTGGGATAGTCCCCCTATGTCCCCCTTATACTAACAGTCCTCAGTAGGGATGGTAGTACCCCCCATTGTAGTCCCTGTTAAGGACTGTTCGTGTCATCCCAACCTTCATCATGACTTCGCATCTCCAGTTCGAGCGCAGGCAGGAGTGGCACACGAAGACCACTTGTTGGATGCTCCGTTACGGCGATTTGCCAGTCCGAGACTTGAAACTCTAAACCCCTGGCTTAGGGTTTAGGAGTTAGGCTTTAGGGCTTAGGGTTTAGGGTTGAGGGTTGAGGGTTGAGGGTTTACGTAGGGTTTAGGGTTTACGGTTGAGGGTTTAGGGTTCCCGAAAATCCTGAACAATAATCCATACCCCTGGCTTGCACCCATCGAAAGATACAACAAAAGCCCAGGTGCGAGTTGCTTCCCGTGAACTTTGGCAGCGTTTTGTTGGCAATTTCGCCCTCCTCCGCGCATAGCTTGTCACACAACTCGGGAGATCGAAGATTTAGGGTAGCGCTGTCTTCGGACATGGATACGTTCCGAAGTCAACGCAAGGAAACATCATCAGGATTTGCTTAAAGCCGACCATTTCCAGATCACGGAATGGCCTGAGAAGATGCGCCTTCGCCATTCTTCTGACTCATGGAGGGCATATGTTTAAAACAATCTCAAGGATGAGCCACTGCCTGAGACTTTTGAGACTTTCCTACGAGTACAGCACCTCCATGGCTTGCAACTCTTCGGAAGGCTTGCGCACAGAAACTCGCAAGTCCGTTGCTCCTGCACATGCTTCGAGCGGAAGTTTTTGGCCCATTGGTTGCTGGTAACTGACATCACGGAAAACGTTTGTCGGTGCACAGCGAGGGCCGCGGCGTTGAGGCCCGAAACGACGTTCCCCTGACCCTTGCCGCCGTACCTGGGAGGCTTTTTTTCAGGCTGGCGCGCTCCACCATGCACCGGACTCTAAAGGAACTAAGCGGGTAAACAGCGCAAAGCCAGGCTTTGCTAATTACCAGTTCCTATCGCTTCAGATACACCCCTCACTCCATCGCTACAGACACAAATCATAAGGAAAAAGAGAGAGAGAGAGAGAGAGAGAGAGAGAGAGAGAGAGACTAGTTCCTAATTACGCACATTTATAATTGGAGCCCACGCTGCTTGTGGCTGGGAGCGACGAAGAACTTGGCCGTGCTAATGGCCCCTTTCGCCACTCCCTTGAGGATCCTCTTAAGAAGGGACTCCTCTGCCTGATGCTCAGCATTGTTCAGTGCAGTCTGCGTGCCGCGCTCCAGGGTCTGCTCCCCGGTGGCTTCACTCTGCGACCCGGCCGTGCCCCAGTTGCCCCAAGGCAACGCTCCGGCGACTGCGGCGGCCAGCTGCAGGTCATTTTCAATCTCTGCGATCCTGAGCTCCATGGGAGTGGCTGGCGTGCTAGCCGATCTTCAGATTCCCCCCCCCCCCCCCCCAAACCCCTCCCCCCACGACGTTACACCCTAAATCTACAGGGGGAGTCTTTGGAAAAAGCACACCCAAAATCTACTCAGAGGTCGAGAGGCTTTGCTTCCTCCGCTGCCACTTGGGCCTGGGCCTTTCGCGACAGGAATTTTTAATCGGGCTGTACCATGATGGTTTTGTGTAGGGCTTCTTGAGGTCTTCCTTCGACTCCTTGGTTCCTTAGGGCAACCCCAATAATAGGGGGCTCTAACGTGGAACGACCATATACTGCACTGTGTCTCACTGCCGCATTTCACAAAATAGGGGCCTTAAAGGGGACCCCGCAAAAAGGGGTACCCCTACTTTCAGCAACCCCCATATGCTGCACGGTATGCTACACAAGCGTGCGCTGCCGCCATTGCCTTTGACATCTGCAAACCATGCCACCCGCCCCACCCCGCTTATGCAACATAACCCGAGGGGCAATCCCGGTCCTTTGGAATAGGTAGTACTAGATTGGGCAATACTCAGCAAAGAATAGAAGAACAAAAGAATGAGACGGAAGACATGAAACTACAAAACCTTGAGAAAAATGCCAACCATACGTTGTTTCAAGGATATGAACAAATATCAAAATGGCAGCATTGACAACATAGTTCATGTTGGGTATAGCAAATTGTGTTTAGGAAGCACGACTGACAGTCGAAGTATGAGAATGGAAAATAGCAGGCATTGTTCTCAAGCATACACGAAAAGGGGTCAAAAGCACGGTTAAATGCTTTGACCTGCTTGATGAGTCGTTGGATCAGACCACAACAGCTTTCCGTTGGGAAGTTCGCTCCCCCATTTCGACCAGAGGGCGGATTCATCTTAAAATGTTAACTGCGTTTGTAAACCAACTTCTGGAGGACCAGAATAATACAATGACAACAAAGAATGCATGTGAAGTAAACACTTAATTGCAGAGAAGCTCATAGGAAAGACAAGCGGTGAAAGCAATGTTGAGAAGACGACGACGACGACGACGACGACGACGACGACGACGACGACGACGACGACAACAACAACAACAACAACAACAACAACAACAACAACAACAACAACAACAACAACAACAACAACAACAACAACAACAACAACAACAACGACAACGACAACGACAACCACCACAACGACAACAACAACAACAACAACAACAACAACAACAACAACCACAACCCACAACCCACAACCCACAACCCACAACCCACAACCCACAACCCACAACCCACAACCCACAACCCACAACCCACAACCCACAACCCACAACCCACAACCCACAACCCACAACCCACAACCCACAACCCACAACCCACAACCCACAACCCACAACAACCCACAACCCACAACCCACAACCCACAACCCACAACCCACAACCCACAACCCACAACCCACAACCCACAACCCACAACCCACAACCCACAACCCACAACCCACAACCCACAACCCACAACCCACAACCCACAACCCACAACCCACAACCAACAACCAACAACCAACAACCAACAACCAACAACCAACAACCAACAACCAACAACCAACAACCAACAACCAACAACCAACAACCAACAACCAACAACCAACAACAACCAACAACCAACAACAACAACAACAACAACCACAACAACCACAACAACCAACAACCCACAACCAACAACCAACAACCAACAACCAACAACCAACAACAACAACAACAACAACAACAACAACAA